CAGAAGTTATGTTACAGACACTCACTCGGGAATCCAGAAGCGCTTTTGAAATCAAGCATTCATTCCATCTTTTATTGCTTCTTCATACATTTTGAGTGCTTGCCATGGTGCGTGCACCAGACAAACCACCAGCGAGATCAAGATGCATCCTATTTTTTAAAAAGTTGTTTCTTTTAATGTGTCAGTTAAAAAGGAATTCTTAAAACCACAAAGAGATATCACTCCATACTGCCAGATTGACCAAAGCTAGAAAGTCAGACAATACCAAGTGTTGGCAAGGGTATGGGGGCACTGGGAGCTCTCCCACACTCATGGGTACGACTCCGGCAGAGCCACTTTGGAAAGCAGTTGGTATGATCTAAGGAAATTGAATGTATGCACAGCCTATGACCTAGTAACTCCAGGTCTAGTATTATTTCCAGTAGAAACACATGCACATATCAAGAGACATGTATAAGAATCTCATAGACGCCTTGTTTATAACAGCCTCAAACAACCTAAACGTCTACTGAAGGTGGAAATGAACACAAGAATTGTGAGATAATGTATGTATATACATGATATATATATATATGTACACATATATATGTATATATATAATGATATATATATAAAACACTGTATATATAACGAAATACTATACAGAGATAAAAATGAATGACCATAGCTGAACCTCACAAACACAATGTTGAGTGAAAGATCCAGGGACAAACAGTACATACTGTATGTTTCCGTATACAAAGTTCAAAAATAGGCAATATAGAACTATGGAGTTAGAAGTCAGGATACTCTCCCTTTGGAGAGGAGGAAGTGATGGAGTGTTGGCAATGTTCCAGTTCTTGATCTGATTTGCTGTAATTGAGCTGGACATTTATTTTTTGTGGACTTTTCCATGTGTGTGTTATACTTCAATAAAAAATTGTGCTGGTGGCGTGCATGTCGAAGAAAGTCTCAATTTTCGCCAGGGTCACGATTCAAGGTCCTGTTGAGCCTGCTGTCAGGCTCTGGGCTGGATAGAGCCTGAGCCTGTTTCTGATCTCTGCCTCCCCTCTGCCCTCCCCGCTCATGCTCTGTCTCTGTCCCAAAAAATAAATAAAAAACGTTGAAAAAAAAAATTAAAAAAAAAAATTTTAAAGGTATGGGGCGCCTGGATGGCTCAGTCGGTTGAGTGTCTGACTCTTGATTTCAGTTCAAGTCATGATTCCAGGGTTGTGGGATTTAGCCACACATGGGACCCTGCACTGAACATAGAGCTTGCTTAAGATTCTGTCTCCTTCTCCCTCTGCCCCTCTCTCCTGCTCATGCTCTCTCTCTCTCTCTCAAGAAAAAGAAGAAAGAAAGAAAGAAAGAAAGAAAGAAAGAAAGAAGAAAAGAAAGAAAGAAAGAAGAAAAGAAAAGAAAGAAAGAAAGAAAGAAAGAAAGAAAGAAAGAAAGAAAGAAAGAAAGAAAGAAAGAAAGAAAAGTGAAATTTTATTATAGAAATTTTTGGGGGTGCCTTGGGTGGCTCAGTTGGTTGAGCTTGCAACTTTGGCTCAGGTCAAGATCTCACAGTTTGTGAGTTCGAGCCCCACATCAGGCTGTTCTGACAGCTCAGAGCCTGGAGCCTTCTTCAAATTCTGGGTCTCCCTCTCTCTCTCTGCTCCTCCCCCACTTGCACTCTGTCTCTCTCTCAAAAATAAATAAACATTAAAATAATTTTAAAAAAAAGAAATCTTGGGAAATACAAAGGAGAAGAAAATCATTCATGCAGAATCTCATCCAACCCAAGATAATGACTATTAAGCATCTTGGTTAATCTCCTTTAGTTTTTTGTTGTTGTGCTTGTTTAACTTAGTGACTATAGCATAAACAGCATTTGATGTATTTCCCAGAATTCTCAGCATGGCAGTCAAGATCCCAGCTGATCCTTCCAGCCCAACCATTTAGCCTCTCTCTTGCCATGTATCCTTGCTTCTAGCCACACTAGACGGACCATTGCTGGATGCTCCCTGCCCATCTCTGCCCCAAACCTTCACTCATGTAGTCCTTTATTTGTGATGGGTCCTGCACTTGGCATAGAGTGGAAATTCTCCCCATCCTTCAAGGCCTAGCTCAAAGCTTGCTTCTCCTGAACGCCCTAGCTGGAATTAATTTCTTGTCCCCCAAATACCCCCTGCACAGCAATGATAACTTTCCCATTATGAATTATATACAGTGAGTCTTGTTAACCTTTGCCTCTCCAACTAGATTCTGTGGGCTTTGTACACTGGGACTCTGGCTTCCTTGTCCCTGATCAGTAAATGTATTAAGCTGCCGTCTAGACACTGTTCTCAAAGGGTGCGGGATGCATAATACAATGCCCAGCCTTCCTCCTTCCCTGGACGATGAGTTCCCCATGGAGGAACCTTTGGGTGGAGTGGGGGGGGGGGGGGGGGGGGGGAGGATTCTCACCCGGAAACACACACTACTGTGCACACTGACCTCCCACTGACCCGCAGGTCTGGGTATGCACACATGAATAGCTGTATACACGGATTTGCACCAACATAGTGACGTGCCTCTTTTATTTCATATTCACATGTGCACCACAGAGATGCGTACTGCATGAAGTTTTAAGTTTTACCCATACGCTACTCTCTTGCAACTTCAATAAAAAATGCACTTCCCCCTGCCCCCATATATACCTGCTGATGGGTCAGCAGACAACAGAAAACCCAGAAAGTCAGCTGTCCAAGACCGAGGGTGTGGTCAGCTCAGGCCGGCCTATGTACCCCAGGTTTCCCTCCCTCTTCCCCATGTAAAGAGCTGGCTAATGTGCCATTCTGCCCTGGCCCATCCTTCACGAACTTGCTAAGCCCGGGAACCCACAGCCAGCTCGTATGGCTTCCCAGGGTAACCAGCTCCAAGTGTTCAGACACGTTATTGATTATTTAAACATGTTTTAAATCGGCAAATGCTTGCGGAAAGGAAAAAAGTAAATTCCCTTGAAACTGTGGACAAGGGTTGCCTCTCTGCAGGAGGCCTGGAGGTGGCTTCCAGGTCTCTCTTAATGAAAATATATTTAATGTGAGCTTGTGCATGTTTTAAAGCTTACCCAAGCAAAACCAGAGAAGGTGCCAAGAAATAAAATGTTTCCCCTCCACTCCCCCTACATGTGGCTAAGATCCCTGAACCACACACACAAACTAGCTGTATCACTTCTGGATACTAGGAACTCTGATGGATAATGAAGACAGCCCGGGAGGCAAAGCCATGGGGACTCCCCCATCAGTGGGGTTGGAGCTCAAACACCAGAGGCCAGTGGTCCTAAGCCCAGCTCAGGATTCCCAGGGCCCAGTCAGGGTGCCTCATGCCCCCTTCAGCAGGTCTGGAGGAAGGGAGGGGGGTGCCCTGAGGTGGCCCAAGGGGGTGGGATGGGGTCTTGGAAAAATGTGTGAATGCTCCCAGCCAGGGCCTGACTGGTGGGTGGGGAGGCACACGCAAGAGGAAGTTCTATGAACCTTTGCCAAAAAAGCAAATTAGCAGGCCCATTCAGGCCCCTTGCTGCAGGTGGCCTTTGAGGGGCAGTGAGACTGTACCCTAAGGCAGGCATCACCAGGCAAGAAAGGACCCTGGAGGAGGGCTTTGAAAGGTGGACAGGGCAGGACAGATGGGGGATATTTAGGGAGCACCCAGGAATGTACAGGGCTCTGAGGTGGAGGCAGAGCCGTGTGCACAGGCATGAGTGTGCATGCACACACATACACACAGTGGGGACAGAGAGTTCTGGTAAGCGCTCAGCTGAAGCCGGGCAGAGTCAGGAGGGTGCAGTCAAAATCATGAAGCGTGGGGTAATTAGGAGAAAACAGGTGACTTGGGGTCTTTCTCCTTGCCAAGTGGGGTCTGGCCCTAAAGAGATCCAGAAGGCAAGCGGACAAGGGGCTGTCCCTCTGTAATCAGTGCTGAGGCAAGAGGAAGTATGCCCTTCTGCCTGGTATTTTCTTTTCCATTTCAATACGATGAATGGTGTTCACAGAAAGAAAGCAAATAGCTATGCAAGAAGAATTTCTTTTTCCTAGTGTGGGATCCATAAAAGCATTTTTATAAGCATGAGAAAATGGTCCTTTCCTGAGGGCTGTGGGCTGTGCCCAGGTCCCATTTCACCCACTGTGACCCAGAAAGCGTCCCCTGCCTGGGCAGGGCTGAGGCAGTCAGTGGGGAGTGGGGAAGAGGGTCCAGAATGCAGGCCGGGGCCCAGACCTGCAGGGCAGCACGCCCCACCCCCATCACCACCCAAATATGGCAGCTGCTATCACAAGCTCGGAAAGTTCAGGCACTTACTTCATGGTGATGGTGTTGAAGAACCAGGAATAGAAGCCCTGGGGAAAAAGGAGAGAACATGTGAGAAAATCCAGGCCCAGGCCTGCCCTCCTCAGCTGTGGGAACCTGGGAAACATGAGGCAGTGTCAGCAAGGGGCCTCCTTCCAGGGAAGAGATGGCAGCGAGAAGGGCATGGGTCCTGGAAGGAAGTGGGCTCCATCTGGAATCAGTGGTGACTGTCCAGGGAGAGGTCTCCCCAGAAGTGAGCTATGAGTTCACATTCCTGCCATGTGGCATCCTGTTACAGGAAATGGGGGCTTAGTGGGTCTTGGACCGGAGGGAGAGAAGG